TTATTTTTATTTATTTATTTATTTTATGTATTTAGTACAGGGTCTACAGGATCTCACTATGTAGATCAGACTTGTAGCATTTCTCCTGTTTTCAGCCTCTCAAGTGCTGGGATTATAGGTGCGTGCCACCACGCCTAGTCTCAGTTGCCATCTCAGTGCACCCTGGGGAAAAGGCCAGCATGGGAAGGTGGGGATCAAACCCCGGCCACTGAGCTCTGCCTAAGCAGGCACTTTAATCCACTGAGTTATCTGGCTGGCCCTGGAATATATAACCTACAAATAACAGCATTAGTATCTATCAGTTGTATTTTTACATAGAAGACTACACCAAAGAGTTTGCCATCTATTTCTTTTCTTTTGAACTGCATTAATAGCTAATGACTGCCTCATTTCTAAACTGAGATGTCAAACATCTTACATGAAAAAATCTTATGTTTTTTTCATAAACTATGGAAATTCTCTCCATGCAAGGATCAGCGACTAAAAGGAGAAAGGTAACAGGTAGGGTGAATATGTACACTCTTTGCTCAAGTTCCTGAAAAGGAAATCAAATAGGATCTGAAGAATATAATCCTGAAGTAATCTAAAAAGAACAACTTTATTTAGGAAGGCTTTCAGTTAGTTTGTTTTGGGCATGCTTTCCAATTGTGTTGGGAGAAGTGGTAGCGCCACTGGGACTACAGAGAATGCTTGTGCCAGCACACGCAGAAGCTCACCTGCAGTTGTTTACATAAGCCAGAGAGCACAGCTATGGATAGTGTACCCAGAGATACGCTGCTAAGCCAAGACTGAAGTGGGTGTCTGGGAGTCACACTATGGGGGCTGAGCACAAAGTGTGAGACAAGGACAAGTCTCATTTGCCAGAGGTTAGAGTTTAGTGACTCATGTAGAGTGGCAATCAAGCCACAGGATAATATAAAAGTCTCCACTCTACATTGCAGAACATGAGGAGAGAGCATTTCCCTAAGGCAAGTCTAGGCAGCTCCTTATAGTATGGTGCTAAGAGTTAGACGATGGCAGGTTATGGGACAACCATCTCCCATTTGGTCAAACTAACTGAAGTGGAGTGTCCTTTCCTCTCAAAGCACTGCTTCTTTGTGACAAGGACACAAGAGCTAGGATTTTAAGTTCTACTTTTGATTACATGTAGTTTATTACAGTAACACAAGCTAAATATCCATAATTTGAGTTTCTCTTGAGTTCTACTTATGTTTCTGGTCAGTTTCTTATGAAGAATGGCCTCAGAGGAAAACCGTAATCTCCCCAAGGCCCAGCTGGCTATTAATATGATGTTCAGGCCTCATCAGAAAATTCCTAGCCTTGCCCCTCTTACCTCAATAAGCTCTTGTATAAGCTTCCAGGTGGACCCCGATGGAAGGAATCACAGTGTGGGCCAAATGTGCTTTTCTCAAGGTAGCTCATAAGCAACTGGATAAATTTGCATTAGAAATTCAATTAACTTTATATTAAAAGGTCAATTAACTGGGCCATGATAGAGCTTGTTTTTAATTACTTTTCCTTGTAAGGTATCTCTTCTTGTTTAAGCACAAGTGATACTATCAAATCATAGTCTCCTTGCCTGCTGTTTGCTCAAACTTACATGTGAAGCACACTGGAAATGTCTGTCTTGGTTAAATGAATTAATAAGACTTTTTTTTTAAGAGAAAAGAAAAACTAATGTAGCAAGAGCTTCAAAACAGGTTAGTAGGAGAGTTACAGTAACTAAAGCACTGTGTACTGTTGTCTTCATAGTAGTTATTCAAAGTACGAGATATAGGTGTGAGATCTTGTACGACTCTCTTTAAGCAACGTATCACTACTAAAATCCAATGAGCCTTTCGTATCTGTAAACAATAATAGAAAGCTTAACTTATTCTCTCTAGTATTAGTCATGTCTATCTCTTTTATTATTTGTCCTTGTTAACTTTTAGTCTTTTGTTGTATGATGATAAGATGATTTTAGGGATTTGTTCTTATTACAATATACAGTATCACAGGTATTTTACAATGTCTTCATAAATTAGATATTCCATCTCAGTAGAGAGAGCTTTTTGTTTCTTTGTGTTAATATGGATCAAATTTCAACTCACTGCTGAACCACTACCAGGCTAACACTTGAACTTAGATGTACAGGATGGCCACTTGGCACCGGGTAACAAGTGGCAATGCAGTGGCCACTGCTGCCAAGTGGAACCACTTGCAGATCAGCACTGAGACAAAAGGAAATGATGTATAAATAAAGGTGCAAGGATACAAATAGTATGTTAACATAATTTATATATTGACATGTAAACACAGACTTCCACATGACTAGTAACTTAAAATTACTATTCAGGATTGACATGAGGCAATCTGGAAATAAAACTTTGTTTATTTTTGCAGAAGGGAACAGCCTTTAACAATTAGGAGCACTAACAATGTGCTGAGCACGTTAGGAATGTTGCCTCAACTATTATTTCTAGAATCTCAGGAGATAGAATGCATTGTTCTCATTTTACCGAAGGGAAGACTTTAGCTAGTCACACAGACCACTGAGGCAGATGCGAACAACAACACCTTCACTCTGCCCTTCTAAAGTTCGTACTTTCCCCTAGAATGAGACCAGTAATTGCATGAGTAGTAACAACATGCAATGTTTATAAAGAGGGATTAGGGAATAATTGCTTACAAGGCAGTTCTGAACTCAGAGAAACAGAATAGTTTAGGCCAGTAGAATTCAACAACTGTGTCCAAAATAATATAAAATAACTGTGTCATGAAACATTTTCTCCCCATGGTGAGAACCTGTCAGTGAGGGAAGCATCAACCTGTGTTCTGGCAGAGGCTTATAGTCCGTCCCCCCCCCCCCCCCCGTGGATCAATAGCATTTTTCAAACCAGTAACCAGTCCATAGACTATTCTGTAACTGGCACAAGTTTAAGGAAACTTCTTATGAAAATTTTCCTGTCTTTGATTATCATTTTGGATAAAGCAAACAGCAAATTTATCTTATATGTTTTCTTACCCTACAGAAAACAGTGGAGGAGAATATCCTAAACCTTGTAAATCTGTGTGAGCTAAGATCGAAAGGATATTAGTAGCCAGCCTGACTGCCTCCTCTCTCTCTCTCTCTCTCTCTCTCTCTCTCTCTCTCTCTCTCTCT